TGCTAATCCAGAGATAGAAATACCCAAATGTGGAAGAAGATCAAGTCCAATGACAACTTGAGTATCTAAAGAAAGTGGTATAACATCGAAAATGTGTGACCATGTAATGATATGATTTCCATTGTCATATAAGATATTTAATGGTGTGGAAGTGGTACCGTGTGTCATTGTACTGGTGTTAGCAGTAGCAAGTGATATAGGTCCAGCAAGGTTTTTATTTAGAGAAAAATTATTATCATTAACGAACTTTATGTCTAAGCAACTAAAAGAGGAACCAGTATCGATAAGGGCTCGTGTATTGATACCTCCTATAGTTATAGGTACAAATAGAGAATGGTTAGTATTGCTACTGTCATTCTGTAGTTCGTTTGTCTTATGATGCTTACAATCATAGTTGACAGGATAATAATTATCGTCAAGATCCATGTGGTTAAGTTCTTCGGAAGAAGATGCATTTATAGATGTGGTAGATGTATGATTTTGGAGAAAGTTGGCTGAGCGGATTGCTTTTTGTGGTTGCTGTTGGTGATTTGAACGAAAGAAATGTTGTTTATTCTTCTGTTGCTTATCTCGAGGGCACTTGGCTGCATGTTCAGGAGACCATGGTACGTTCTTTGTACAACTGAAGCAGTTTGTGCTTGGTTGAGATGTTGTTACATGTTGTCTTTTGCTTGTGGTGTTGGTGTCAGATACAATTTTTTGATCATTCAATAGTTGTTTATATTTTTTGCATTGTTCTGTTGTATGTTTGCCCCAGTCATGTACAGCACAATAGTATTGTTTCTTTGTATGCGTGTTTGATGACTTGTTAATACCCAGAGTATTGCTGTTATTCATTGAAGAATTGTTGTTTTGTTTATTGACAAACGGGATGACATGCTGTTCAGTATTGGAGATGTTGAGCTTTTTCATATTTGTTGTAGTAGTGGTATTGCAAATTTGAGTGGTAACCACGGTACGTGCTTTGGCTGCAATTTTATTTACTGTGTTCTGCTCACTTTGTGGTAAATTGACGATGGCTCGCGCAATCTCTGTGCGTAATTCTGGGATGAGAGCACGGCGGAAAATGTGTGCAGCAGTGATGTTATCTTCCCATTTTGCTGCTCGTCGTAGACGTTGAAATCTGTCAGTGAAAGTGTCGACATGTTCATTGTAGCTCATATGGCAGGAAAGGAGTTGGTCCATATACTCTATCTGCTGAGCTACATCTTCAGTGGCATATTTTTCTTCGACAATTGTTCGTACTTCTGCCCATTGTAGCGTACGTCCTTTAAGTGTGACGTTGAACCATGATTGTTGATCAGTGTTCATGCGTAATGGCATCAAACGTTCCCAATGATGGTTGATATCCAGTCCAACGGAATTGATTTGTAGTTCAAAGTTATCCAGAATACCTTCAATGTTTTCGAATAACTGTGAATTTTTGTCATTGGGATCATTTCTCCACTTGTTGCTTCCCCATTGCCACCAAGGAAGATCCTTCGGAATAGTGAAGTCTTGTTTGGTTTGAATTGCTGTACTGGTAGTTTGAGTGCTGATATTGCTGTTGTCCTTTTCTGGTGAAAGGTATTGTTCAGAACGTTGAATAAGAGCTATGCATGCAATTAATTGCTCAGATTCTGTTTGCATCTGTTGTATGATGTTGGCAGGTTGATTGTCCAGATGTGCTCTGGTTAGTTGTTCTGTTGAAAGTTTGAGCCGAGCACGTAAGCTATCAATGCTTGTTGTATCAACCAATAATTGTTCGTTATTGATTGAGTCTTCCAATTGATCCAAAGATGCCATTTCAGACTGTGTTTGGCGTTCTTTACTTCGAGTTGCTGGCATATTAAGCAGGGTTCGTTAAAAAAAATGTGATTTATGTCTTATAATAACAATCAAAGTAAAAAAATAACGAGACTGCCAAAAAGGGTCCTGCTTTATTCATTCATTGAGGAGTAGGTCTTTTATATTTAAGTTAGTAAGACATGTGTTCCAGTGATAGTATGTTATTAACCATAAAATCCATGAGTGTATACAACCCTAGTTGTTTCTAAGTTGTTGTCTCATTATGCTAGACAGGGTTGTCTCAACAGATCATGACACATACTTAAACGAACCTTACACTGGTGCCAGAGGTGCTCGATTGGATTCAAGTCGGGACTTTGAGGAGGCCAATCGTCGATTACGTTCACCTTGTGCTCCTTAAACCACTTTTTAGTGCTATTGGATGTGTGTTTGGGGTCATTATCGTGCTGGAAATACGATTCTTGCCAGTCTAATCCATAGTACTCCATGGTATCCCTAAGTGTTGTGTCCAGAATATGCTGGTAATCCTCGGATTTCATGGTCCCATCGTATATCTGGCATGCGTAACCAGGTCCATAGTAGGTCATACAACCCCAAACCATGATATGGCCGCCCCCATGCTTGACAGTAATATCAAGATGGTGAGGTTTAAGTGGGTCACCTGGTCTAGTCCAATAGTATTTGCAACCATCAGACCCCCAAACGTTGATTTTCGTCTCATCTGAGAACACAACACGCTTCCAATCGTCGACTGTCCAATACTGGTGGTTTTTGGCCCATCGCAAACGCTTCTTTCTATTCTTCTCGCTGATGAAAGGCTTCTTTTGTTTGATACCAGAATGAAAACCCATAGATTTGAGAGCGTTTATGGACGTTTTGTAAGTCAAATCGTAACCCAAATCAAGAAAGGATTAATGGGCCTCTTGGGCAGTATTTATAGACCCTGTTAATAGCTTGCGACGAACCACAGCTTTACTTTTCTCCGCTACAATAACCGGTCTACCACCTGCTTGACGTTGTCTGTTAGGGAACCACTTATTGCTATACTTGGAAATCACCCCTTTTGATATTCCAAGTTTCTTCTGGATGCTTGCAATAGATGTTTCTTTCGCAAGTAATGCCTTAAGTTCTATTTGAACGGCAGTAGAGAGTGTACGAGTCATAATTATAGGTAGGTATCAGTTGTAATGAAAATGGGAAAGAAAAGTGTAAAAAAGTTGTGAATTTTTGGTACCTTTATAATCTTTCAGGCACCCCTGCCCTCATTTAACACCCCGCTAAAATTATTTTAATTCTACCCTGTTCAGTCTCCGCAAAAAGTCTGATGCAAGGTTTCTACAGTAATTTGGAAAAAACTGTTCACGTGAGGTCTCCTAGTAAATTCAATCGAATTTAAACTTAGCGCCAATGAAATTGCTCGATAATAAAGGTACTTGTAAAGCAGAGTTTAAGCTTTTGAATGATACCAGTTTGACCTGGATATCGCTTATTTTCGTCTCAACAGAGCTCAAAATGTCTGAAATCAGCAATTACGTGAACAGTTTTTTCACCCACTGTACGTTAACACGAATTCGTGACCTTCAAGAAAACAGATTACAGGCCGAAGCTGATATGCGTCAACGAGCTCAAAAAGACAAAGAACTCTGGTGTCATGTCCCGACCACTGTCTACAGTATCGAAACACGAGTGAGAATTAATTAATTTAAACACAGCATAAACGGCTGTCATCTTAGACTTGAATTGTCGATTAAGCAATTGTTCACAAGTCAAACTGGTATCATATCCATAACAGTGTTAGAACACGCCTTCACTAATCTCTCATTAGATCCATTAGTACTCATTGGTTGTAACTACATCTTCCTAACATCCTCTATAAGCTCAGCTAACTCTCTGAAAAATATATAAAGCCTTCATGTTCTCAAAATTGAAATAAAGATTATCTGACTTTTTCGGTCTCGTTCTATCTTGGTCTACAAAATTACTTAAGAATATCTCATTTTTTTGAACGAATTCCTCTATCTATAACATATTATTATCAATCATGTCTATCCCTACTCAAGAAAAACACATTGAAGTAAGTGCTCCTGGTAACCATGCCTCCCCTCAGCTCGGTGATGCCTCTCTACCCATCGTTGGCTCTCCCTCTACTTCTTCCGATGTTGAACGCACTGAAGCCGATAATGGTATTACTATGCATGATGTACCCATGCAGGAATCTGATCCCTCATCTCAGGATATCGCTCCCGAGGAAGCACTAGAATCTCTTCGTATTAAATTGCACTCTCTCCTTGGTCAAATTGCTAATGGCGTCTGCTCCAATCAACAAGACAGCGAATTGGCTATCCTGCGTGACGAAGCTACACGTATCAAGAATTATATCAAGTTTCTTGAAGATATCTACTCTGTCTCCAAACCCACACCTCTCTCATCCCATCCTGGTACCTGCCCTTCTGAGCAAGCAGATGCGCCCTGGTCCAAAAAGAACCATCTGATTCCTTCAGATTTGCCTTACTGGCAGTGGCAAGGAAACGTGTGGAAGGCTGACGCAGTGGTACATGAGTCGGTAGAAGACCTGCTGGAAATGTTTTATATCACTATTGACTCCAATGGTCTCAACGTTGATCAAAGCTGGTCAAGACTCATGCCTATCCGAATGAACCGTGATCAACGATCATGGTTCTACTCCAATTTGAAGGGTCGTTCTCTCTCCTGGTCTCAAGTCCGGTCCATCGTTATTGATACCTATGCCGCCCAGGATGTTGCGCACGAATTAGATAACATGGACAAGCTGTTATCCCTCAGGATGAACCCTTCCGAAGCTGTTGAATCGTTTACGGATCGCTTCCAGCGTATTAGAAGAGCAGCAAAATGGGAAGATGATATGAGAACTGCAACCATTTTCAAGCGTGCCTTACCTGAGTCTCTACGCCGTGAAGTTGCTCGTTCCCTCTTGAACTTACCACGCAATGAACAGGATTCGGTTGGCAAAGTAGCTGCCAAAGCTCGCTTGGTTCTCTCCTCAAAAATTTGTTTTAATTCTTCTGCTGGTGTCTCCGATACCTCCGCTGACAAAAAAGGCAATACTACTCCTCTCCCTTTTGCTCGTTCCGCTTCCGTCAAGAATGATTCACGTGGTAATCAACCTTCTTCTTCCGCTGCCAATCTCGGGATGTCAAAGTCTTCTTCTGCTGCTGGTATTTCCAAAAACAAACAATATCACTGCAAGATTCACGGACGTTGTAACCATCCTACAGATAAATGTCAGAGGTACAAGGAAATCTTTGGCAATACCGCCCCTGCTACTACTGCTACCACAAACACAGCATCCATTAAACCTGCTCCCACTACCATATCAACATCGTCCATATGCAGAAACTGTTCAGCTAATGTTCCTTGGTCAAGGGCACATGCTGCAGTCTGTACACGCGATAAACGATATGCAAGCAGACAGCAACCTTCCAATGGTGCTTTCCGCACACTCCATCCGTCTCGCGGCACCGCTGCATCTCGCTGGAGTAAGGCAGCATCACTTGGAGAACTACAAGAAGCTGGTGACCATGAAATGGCCGAAGCCCCTACCATCGCCTCCGATGAACGCGGTTATCCCATTAGCCATGAATGTAAGCCAATCTTTTCTACTATTAGCAAACAACAGAATGAACTTGATCTTAATAATCATTCTTTAATTGTTCCTATCACTATAGAAAACGTCAATACCTTCGCTTTGGTTGACACCGGCGCGTCGTTTAGCTCTATAGATATACAATTTGCTAATAATAATAACATTCATATTAATAAAAATGTTTTTGGCACTTTTGATCTTGCTACCTCAGACACGAAAATTGATCGTATTGGTACTACTCTTAAACCCCTAAACATTGTATACGGTGATAACGATAAGAACATTATCCACACATCACATATTTTCGAAGTTTTACCTCTTTCATTGGGCACTAAAGTTGTTCTTGGTCTTGATTTGCTTCCCAAGTTGAATATTTTGATTACCAACTTAGCTATTAAACACCCATACAATGGACCTATTATTGACAAAGAGATTATTGATGACACACCAGAACCTAATAATTCTCCTTACGGTTCTGAAAAGCAACAACAGGATTTCATGGCTTCAATCACTCCATTTCTCGAGAAAAATGCCGCCATTCCTAAAAATTCTTTCTGTACTGTACCCGAATCCATCATTCGTTTAGACACAGAACCAGGAAAAACTGCTTATCGCGCACCTTATAGACTTCCCCTTCGAATTCAACCAATTATGCAAGAATGCATTGATACTTGGTTAAAAGATGGAGTCATCGAAAGAGCATCCCCAAATGCTGACTGGAATTCCCCATTGACGGTTGCACCCAAAAAAGATCTGCTGGGTAATCTTACAGGTCATCGCCCTTGTTTAGATCCTCGTCTACTCAATTCCATTTTAACTGTAAATGATCGTCATCCTATTCCAAAAGTTGATGAAATCTTTGATCGTCTAGCTGGTTCCACTATATTCACTACTCTGGATCTCCGTCAAGCTTTCCATCGGTTTCAAATCTATGAACCTCATCGTGTCAAGACTACTTTTACCTTTGAAGGCCAACAATACCAATTTCGAGGTTGTCCTTTTGGTTTACGACACATTGCTTCTCGGTACCAACGTGTAATCAATATTGTACTTCGTGATGTGAACTTCGCACAAGCTTTTGTGGATGATATTATCATTTATTCCAAGACTTATGAAGAGCACATTCATCATGTACAACAAGTCATTGACAAGCTGACCAAAGTTAATCTGATTCTTAACCCAGACAAGTGCCACTTCGCTCAAACTTGCGTTTATTTACTTGGTTTCTGTGTTGACGCCTCTGGTACTCGACTTGATCCTCGTAAAGTATCCAACGCTTTATCATGGCCCAAACCCACATCTGGAAAAGATATTCAGCGTTTCCTAGGTCTTGTCAACTACTTTCGTCGTTATCTGCCAAAACTTTCTGAAATAACTGCTCCCTTGGACAAACTCAGACTTGCAGGCAAACTCAATG